ACTATGTATTTACCCTGTGATCTGTAAGACATTATACACTATATATTTACCCTGTGATCTGCGGGGACCAGACAATGATACACTATGTATTTACCCTGTGATCTGTGGGAACCAGACACTATACACTATGTATTTACCCTGTGATCTGTGGGGACCAGATACTATATACTATGTATTTACCATGTGATCTGTGGGGACCAGACATTATACACTATGTATTTACCCAGTGATTTGTTGGGACCGGACACTATACACTATGTATTTACCCAGTGATCTGTGGGGACCAGACAATATACACTATGTATTTACCCAGTGATTTGTTGGGACCAGACAATGATACACTATGTATTTACCCTGTGATCTGTGGGGACCAGACATTATAGACTATGTATTTACCCAGTGATCTGTGAGGACCTAACACTATACACTATGTATTTACCCAGTGATTTGTTGGGACCAGACAATGATACACTATGTATTTACCCTGTGATCTGTGGGGAGCAGACCTATGTATTTACCCAGTGATCTGTGAGGACCTAACACTATACACTATGTATTTACCCAGTGATTTGTTGGGACCAGGCAATGATACACTATGTATTTACCCTGTGATCTGTGGGGACCAGACATTATATACTATGTATTTACCATGTGATCTGTGGGAACCAGACACTATACACTATGTATTTACCCTGTGATCTGTAGGGACCAAACCCTGTGATCTGTGGGGACCTGACATTATACACTATGTATTTTCCATGTGATCTGTGGGGACCAGATATTATACACTATGTATTTACCCTGTGATATACACTATGTATTTACCATGGGATCTGGGGGGACCAGACATTATACACTGTGTATTTACCATGTGATCTGTGGTGGGGACCAGACATTATACATTATTTATTTACCCTGTGATCTGTGGGGACGAGACATTATATACTATGTATTTACCCAGTGATCTGTGGGGACCAGACATTATACAATATGTATTTCCCCAGTGATCTGTGGGGCCCAGACATTATATGCTATGTATTTACCATGTGATCTGAGGGGACCAGACATTATACACTATGTATTAACCCTGTGCTCTGTGGGGACCAGACATTATATACTCTGTATTTACCATGTGATCTGTGGGGACCAGACATTATACACTATGTATTAACCCTGTGATCTGTGGGGACCAGACATTATAAACTATGTATTTACCCTTTGATCTGTGGGGACCAGACACTATACACTATGTATTTACCCTGTGATCTGTGGGGACCAGATACTATATACTACGTATTTACCATGTGATCTGTGGGGACCAGACATTATACACTATGTATTAACCCTGTGATCTGTGGGGACCAGACATTATACACTATGTATTAACCCTGTGATCTGTGGGGACCAGACATTATACACTATGTATTTACCCAGTGATCTGTGAGGACCTGACATTATACACTATGTATTTACCCAGTGATTTGTTGGGACCAGACAATGATACACTGTATTTACCCAGTAATCTGTGGGGACCAGATACTATATACTATGTATTTACCCTGTGATCTGTGGGGACCAGACATTATACACTATGTATTTACCCAGTGATTTGTTGGGACCGGACAATGATACACTGTATTTACCCAGTAATCTGTGGGGACACACTATATATTTACCCTGTGATCTGCGGGGACCAGACAATGATACACTATGTATTTACCCTGTGATCTGTAGGGACCAGATACTATACACTTTGGGACCAGACAATGATACACTGTATTTACCCAGTAATCTGTGGGGACCAGATACTATATTTACCCTGTGATCTGTGGGGACCAGATACTATATACTATGTATTTACCCTGTGATCTGGGGGGACCAGACAATATACACTATGTATTTACCCAGTGATCTGTGGTGACCAGATATTATAATCATTTATTTACCCTGTGATCTGTGGGGACCAGACATTATACACTATGTATTTACCATGTGATCTGTGGGGACCAGACACTATATTCTATGTATTAACCCTGTGATCTGTGGGGTCCAGACATTATACACTATGTATTTCCCCTGTGATCTGTGGGGAGCAGACACTATACACTATGTATTTCCCCTGTGATCTGTGGGGCCCAGACACTATACACTATTTATTTACCCTGTGATCTGTGGGGACTAGACAATATACACTATGTATTTACCCAGTGATCTGCGGTGACCAGATATTATAATCATTTATTTCCCCTGTGATCTGTGGGGAGCAGACACTATACACTATGTATTTTACCCTGTGATCTGTGGGGACCAGACATTATACATCATTTATTTACCCTGTGATCTGAGGGGACCAGACATTATACACCATGTATTTACCCTGTGATCTGTGGGGAGCACACATTATACACTATGTATTTACCCTGGAATCTGTGGGGACCAGACACTATATTCTATGTATTAACCCTGTGATCTGTGGGGTCCAGACATTATACACTATGTATTTACCCTGTGATCTGTGGGGACAAGACATTATACACTATATATTAACCCTGTGATCTGTGGGGACCAGACATTATACACTATGTATTTACCCTTTGATCTGTGGGGACCAGACATTATACACTATGTATTTACCCTGTGATCTGTGGGGACCAGACATTATACACTATGTATTTACCCTTTGATCTGTGGGGACCAGACACTATATACTATGTATTAACCCTGTGATCTGTGGGGACCAGACATTATACACTATATATTTACCCTGTGATCTGTGGGGACCAGACATTATACACTATGTATTAACCCTGTGATCTGTGGGGACCAGACATTATACACTATGTATTTATCCTGTGATCTGTGGGGACCAGACATTATACATCATTTATTATGTGATCTGTGGGGACCAGACATTATACACTATATATTTACCCAGTGATCTGTGGGGACCAGACATTATACACTATGTATTTACCCTTTGATCTGTGGGTACCAGACACTATATACTATGTATTAACCCTGTGATCGGTGGGGACCAGACATTATACACTATGTATTTATCGTGTGATCTGTGGGGACCAGACATTATACATCATTTATTATGTGATCTGTGGGGACCAGACATTATACACTATATATTTACCCAGTGATCTGTGGGGACCAGACGTTATACACTATATATTTACCCTGTGATCTGTAGGGACCAGATACTATATACTATATATTTACCCTGTGATCTGTGGGGACCAGACATTGTACACTATGTATTTACCCTGTGATCTGTGGGAACCAGACATTATACACTATGTATTTACCCAGTGATCGGTGGGGAACAGACACTATACACTATGTATTTACCCTGTGATCTGCGGGGACCAGACAATGATACACTATGTATTTACCCTGTGATCTGTGGGAACCAGACATTATCCACTATGTATTTACCCAGTGATCGGTGGGGAACAGACACTATACACTATGTATTTACCCTATGATACACTATGTATTTACCCTGTGATCTGTGGGGCCCAGACACTATACACTATGTATTTCCCCTGTGATCTGTGGGGACCAGACACTATACACTATGTATTTACACAGTGATCTGTGGGGACCAGACATTATAACTATATATATGTATTTACCTTGTGATCTGTGGGGACAAGACACTATACACTATATATTTACACAGTGATCTGTGGAGACCAGACATTATACACTATGTATTTACCCTGTGATCTGTGGGGACCAGACACTATACACTATGTATTTACCCTGTGATCTGTGGAGACCAGACATTATACACTATGTGTTTACCCTGTGATCTGTGGGGACCAGACATTATACCCTATGTATTTACCATGTGATCTGTGGGGCCCAGACATTATACACTATGTATTTACCCTGTGATCTGTGGGGCCCAGACACTATACACTATGTATTTACCCTTTGATCTGTGGACTATACACTATGTATTTACCCTGTGATCTGTGGAGACCAGACACTATACACTATGTATTTACCCTGTGAACTGTGTGGACCAGACATTATATACTATATATTTACCCAGTGATCTGTGGGGACCAGACATTATAACTATATATATGTATTTACCTTGTGATCGGTGGGGACAAGACACTATGCACTATATATTTACACAGTGATCTGTGGAGACCAGACATTATACACTATGTGTTTACCCTGTGATCTGTGGGGACCAGACATTATACCCTATGTATTTACCATGTGATCTGTGGGGCCCAGACATTATACACTATGTATTTACCCTGTGATCTGTAGGGACCAGACACTATACACTATGTATTTACCCTGTGATCTGGGGGGACCAGACATTATACACTATGTATTTACCCAGTGATCTGTGGGGACCAGACCCTATACACTATGTATTTACCCTGTGATCTGTGGGGCCCAGACACTATACACTATGTATTTACCCTTTGATCTGTGGGGACCAGACACTATACACTATGTATTTACCCTGTGAACTGTGTGGACCAGACATTATATACTATATATTTACCCTGTGACATATCAGTCATTAGTTTCACACTGTCACTTTTTGAGACATCGGAGAAGGATGGCCATCCAGATTTGGAGTCAAACTTTGTGTCCGAGGCGAATAAAGGGTTTCCACATACAACACAGTGGTAGAGTCCTTCGTCACTATGCTTGTAGTATTTCCCAGAGAATGCTCTGTAATACAAAACATTGTTATCATTTAACCGCTTCATTGCATTTGTGTTTGTCTACCTGGCATACAAATTCATGATTCATGAGTGCCAACTAAAATAAGTTCAATACTTGTATTTTCTTTTTTTCTGAATCTATTGATCTGAAAGAAAAATTAATTGAATCTTTCAACATTCAGTATAACTATAAGTAGAATAATATATTAATCATATGTGCTTGTTCCATGAATAGAACGCCAATGTTATCCAACGTTACAACTAAGACCTCATAATAATGACAATAGGGTCATGGCATTCATAGCTTAAATGAACGCCATCTGAATGTGGTAGGGGTGTATATAGTGGTAGTGCCATATGACGGTAAACATCCTATGTAATTGAAAGCAGCGTCACCCTCTGTTACAAACAAGAGGTCCCAAAGGGGGATCTCAGTGCCCCCCATTGTCCCATCTTCATTAGTTCTATGTCAATTTGATCTTTTCTCTTCTTTTCTCCTATCTGTTTGATCGAGTTATGTAAACAATAAATGCACCTTGAGGTAACTCGATCTAAACTTCATACTGCTGTGTATAAAAGACAACCTTCATTGTGAGTTTGTCACTCTACATGTTTACTAGTATAGTATTTAATGTCAATATGAGAAAGAACTGTTAAACACATGTACTTCCTTCCTGTGGCCACACTGTATTTCGAAATCCAAGATGGCCGTAAGTGGACCATTTTGTCTATTTGATCAATGTCAAAAGTGAACATACACAACTAGAGACCAAGGGGAACATGCATATCAAATTTGATAAATATCACTCCAGTATTTCGTAAAAATTAAAGATAACAAACCTTCTCTATCAAAATCCAACATGATCACCTGTCAGCCATTTTGTTTATCTGATCAGTCACAAAATGTAACATGCACAACTACAGACAAAGGGGAACCTACAATCCCTCCAGTATTTTCTGATAAATGGTGATAACAAGAAATAGTTGAGGATAGACAATGGCCAGACCAGACAATGGTCAGACCACAGACAATGGTCAGACCACAGACAATGGCCGGACCACAGACAATGGTCAGACCACAGACAATGGATGGACCACAGATACTGTAAAGGGTCATTTGAATGGCCATCCATCAAATGATGGTTGGTTAAATAACAGCATCACCATCCTCTGTAATAGGTTTGGTCTAAATGGTATCTGCTTCCGACCAGGTGAGCTTACACTTCAATAATTATTTGACAGAATTTAAGGTCATAGGAGTGTATTGCTAAATGGAAATAGGAAGAACATCCCTAGTTGAAAATCCAATGTAGGGAGACGGTATCACAATTTCCGCATAATCTAATGTTTGATATTAAAGTGATGAATATTGTATGCTTATTATTGACAGAACAGTGTGTTCTTTCAATATTAAAGTATTGCAAAGCAATCCAGGCATTAATTTAGTTGTTTTTTAATCAATGAGTCACATGTGTCCATTTTTCTGTACTTCAGAAACCGGCTACCTATTTCACTACTGTGAAGTTTTTCAAGAACGATAACTCTTGCATGCAATTACTATGTGTATATGCTTTTACTATAAAATGTCAATTTTTAATCGTTTATAGATAATTAATTGTCCACAATTTCAGCATTTATGAAATTGATATACATTAATGCAATACTAATCTATGTTAGTATCTTTTTTATTGACATTATTTTGCAAAATATTGTGTTTCAAATTATTTTTTACTATTTTTTTCAAAATTCGCTCCTCTTTACATAACTTTCCTTTTAAAATCCTTAAAATTCTGACAACCTATATTGTTTTTGTGGCAGAAAATTTTCTTTACTTCAAAGCAATATATCTACAAAATTTGAATAAATTCTACTGAGAAATGGCGACACAATCCTATTATCTTAATGACCAAGACAAAAAAGATGAAGTGATAATACCTTTTTAACCAAATTTATACAAACCAATTCCTTACCTTTCTGTCCCACGCTGCTGAGTAACTCGGTACTGCGTGGGCGATAGCCGCTCTTTGAGCTCGCTTTTTGGGACTGAGACAGGACATTTGGAGCTCCCAGGTGGTGAGCATTCTTCCTGAAGGCGTTTGAGGGTAGGTGAGGCTTCACGCTGTGAGGTAACTAAGTGTATGATGTTCATCCAGACGATACACAGACCAACAGAATGCAGACCCACAATAGACATGTACTAAAAAAAGGCCAGGCACTTCCCACTACAACAAAAACCAAAAATGTGTTCTGTAGCATCGTCGGGCGAAGAGGACTTAATGTTGTATACATGAAGGCCATAGGGGAGCCATTATACCCCCTTTTATACTAAATAGAGAACCATCTAACCAAGGATGCTCCAGACAAAAAGTCCCCGCACGTAGGGCGTAAGAACTGTACTTGCTGCCCCCATTGCATGATCATAAGAGGCAACTAAATTTGGGATCTTATCCCTTCTCTCATTTCTAAACAACTTTCTTCTTCTTTATGTCTCCCTTGACAATGCCTCACTTTTGGCCTTTAGTTGAGCGTTCCCCCCTGTGAGGAAGGCTTTGGGTTCTGTCCTCTGGCAGAGACATACCAGAGTCTATAAAATGGTAGTTTCTACTCCTGCTTAACGCTCAGCAATTAAGGAGTGGGACGACTGGTTCGCCCGTTGTCAGTATAATGTGTCCGGGTGGGGTGTCCTGCTTGGTGTCTTTGGCAGTATGTTTCAGTGAGGTAGCACAATAAAGTAGGCATCAGTTCCGCACTATCACAAGGAGACAACACACAAACATATCGCAGCCTCCCAAAACACACGCATACACTACACGCATGTATCTTGCACACAACGGNGGGTGGGCGGGGAGGCCGTCCTAAAATGACCATAGCATTTAATTGATAGGACGTTAAACAATACTAAACCAAACCAAACAAAACCTCCAGACAAAAGGACTTGGGGCGTTATGGGCCATTTTTGGTCTTATAAAAAGTGGAAATTTTAACTTGAACTTATTAGCCAATTTCCCTTTATACCATATTGGTTAATTGGGGCCATCTCTCTTGTTATAGATTTTTCATAATGCGCATGCATAGATGTCCTACCATAGCAACGAACCTGCGTTGCTATGCAGAAATAGCCAAAAATATGGTGTTTTTGGACAGTAAACATGTAGAAATAAAAGCCTCCCCATGTGACAAACAAAAATCCCTCTACACAAATAAACACTGGTATAACAATGTTTAAGCATGTCAAATTTGTATTTGTTTGCTGCATGCGGAGGCTTTCAAACATTGAAGAGTATAATTAATAGATTAATTAATTAATTTCCTTCAAAATATATAATTTTCAACCAAATAGCGCCGATGATATTCACGTGCTTATGATGAAAATTTGCATCACTCTATAACTCTCTTTGTAATGCCATTTTCATAAACCAGTTGTCGAATGCATTTGAAATTTTATATTTGCGTACTTCAGATTAAGAATATAACAACTAGTTCTAAATCCTTGATGTGGCCGGAAATTACCCTTAACGACCATAGTCCTTTGGTCAAAATCCAGAGAGCCGCTATTACTAATGAGAGCCATACCCCCTTTTATACTAAATAGAGAACCATCTGACCAAGGATGCTCCAGACAAAAAGTTCCTGCATGTAGGGCGTAAGAACTGTACCTGCTGCCCCCATTGCATGATCATAAGAGGCAACTAAATTTGGGATCTTATCTTTTCTCTCATTTCTAAACAACTTTCTTCTTCTTGATGTCTCCCTTGACAATGCCTCACTTTTGGCCTTTAGTTGAGCGTTCCCCCCTATGAGGAAGGCTTTGGGTTCTGTCCTCTGGCAGAGACATACCAGAGTCTATAAAATGGTAGTTTCTACTCCTGCTTAACGCTCAAATTCTTGATGTGGCCGGAAATGACCCTTAACGACCAGTCCTTTGGTCAAAATCCAGAGAGCCCTTATTACAAGTTAGCATTGTAATAGGAAAAGTTGACAGACAACAGACAGACAACAGACAGACAACACACTGCACCACAGCTTAAAGCTGACAGACCAAGTTCAAAAGCTTTCAATTGAAATTTATAAAAGAAATTCAGTTTCTGGTTTTGAGATGTTCCCCATTGACTCTCACCGACATTTTAGTTTGTGCTTGCTTGGTAACGATTATGGGTCTCCCTGGTTTTAACATGAGCTGTTGGAGAACAGCATTAGCCCCCCCTATTCTTCGAATAGGCAAGCTAAAAAGCACATTACCTGTCAAATCAGTTATCATTCTACCACTGACCACTTCTAAGAAATTGTGCATCCAAAATAAACAAGAGATCCCAGAGTGATATAGGCGCCCCCCCCCACCATTGTACCATTTTCATTAGTTCTTTGTCGGTTTGATCTTTTCTCTTCTTTCCTCTAATCTGTTTGATCAAGTCATGTTAACAATAAATGCACCTTGAGGTAACTTTTGATCTAAACTAAATACTGATGTGTATGAAAGCCAACCTTCAAAGTGAGTTTGTCATTTCACATACTTATACTAGTACAGACTTGTTATAACAAGTCTTACTACCGTTCCTGTAAATGTATTAACTATAGCCTGGTGATAACAAGTCTTACTACCGTTCCTGTAACTGTATTAACTAGCCTGGTGATAACAAGTCTTACTATCGTTCCTGTAACTGTATTAACTAGCCTGGTGATAACAAGTCTTACAACCGTTCCTTTAACTGTATTAACTATAGCCTGGCGATAACAAGTCTTAATTACTACCGTTCCTGTGAAAGTATTAACTAGCCTGGTGATAACAAGTCTAACTAACGTTCCTGTAAATGTATTAACTAGCCTGGTGATAACAAGTCTTACAACCGTTCCTGTAACTTTATTAACTAGCCTGGTGATAACAAGTCTTACAACCGCTCCTGTAACTTTATTAACTAGCCTGGTGATAACAAGTCTTACAACCGTTCCTGTAACTGTATTAACTAGCCTGGCGATAACAAGTCTTACTAGCGCTCCTGTAAATGTATTAACTAGCCTGGTGATAACAAGTCTTACAACCGTTCCTGTAAATGTATTAACTAGCCTGGTGATAACAAGTCTTACAACTGTTCCTGTAAATGTATTAACTAGCCTGGTGATAACAAGTCTTACTACCGTTCCTGTAAATGTATTTACTAGCCTGGTGATAACAAGTCTTACAACTGTTCCTGTAAATGTATTAACTAGCCTGGTGATAACAAGTCTTACAACCGTTCCTGTAACTGTATTAACAAGCCTGGTGATAACAAGTCTTACAACCATTCCTGTAAATGTATTAACTAGCCTGGTGATAACAAGTCTTACAACTGTTCCTGTAAATGTATTAACTAGCCTGGTGATAACAAGTCTTACAACCATTCCTGTAACTGTATTAACTAGCCTGGTGATAACAAGCCTTACTACCGTTCCTGTAACTGTATTTACTAGCCTGGTGATAACAAGTCTTACAACTGTTCCTGTAACTGTATTAACAAGCCTGGTGATAACAAGTCTTACAACGTTCCTGTAACTTTATTAACTAGCCTGCATGGTGATAACAAGTCTTACAACTGTTCCTGTTAATGTATTAACTAGCCTGGTGATAACAAGTCTTACAACCGTTCCTGTAACTGTATTAACTAGTCTGGTGATAACAAGTCTTACAACCATTCCTGTAAATGTATTAGCTCTTTAACAGGACTCCTACTTTGGGAAGTAAACAACACAAACTGCAGTATATATTACTTTGATTTCAATGTTTTAGTGCTATTTTTAATATAATATGATCCTTCCGCTTAACTTAATTTGTCAGTAGTAATATTTACATGTTTATTTTTCAATCTGGCTGCATGTATACACATCAAAAAATTATTTTGTGTAATTGTTTATGATGTATTCAGATGTATGATTAAATCAAAAGTTAGAAATAAAGAAATAGAGGTTTTTGTTACGGTACAATAGATTTCATTTACCATTGATGAAAATGAACTTAAGAAAAGTCTTAATGAACATAAACTTCTATGAGAAGGAGTGTGGAGATTATGAGGGGGGTACTGATAACTTAATGTATACAGGTATATGGTTTTAGTTTTGCTAGACTTTTATTAGAGTTTTATCCTATAATTTTCTAATCTGCATAAAAAAACACTTAAATAAAATATAGAGTATCCCATCCTTAATATGATTATATTGCTAAGGAGTAATCAGTATATACATTGTAAGTACTAACTTATATGCTTCACTGAGCAAAATGTTAACATAAACAAATCAAAAACACATCTGAAATAATATATATTATTCCATAATAATTAAAGTCAGCTTTGAAATGGAGGTACGGTAGTCTACTGGTAGGACGCCAGGCTAATGACCAAAGGGTTGCGGGTTCGAGTCACGTCACGGCATTGTGTTGTATCTTTGAGCAAGATACTTTACTCCGCTTGTTCCAGTCTACTCAGCTGTAAATGAGTACGTTGTTTGGCAGTGCTAGAATTGTTGAATGCTAGCTGTTAACGCCTAAATGGCAACTCCGGCTGTATGCTCCCCAGGGAGTTGAAAAAGATATTGGCTGGTTGCAAAGGCCCTATAACTATGGATAATAATTTGTGAGACAACCTACTAACTAGGTTGTGATAAAGCGGTATATAAGAACCTCAAATTATTATTATTATTAGGTGAAACATTAACACTGCATTAACATGTCACAATAAGTAGACTCTTTGTTTACAACATCCCTACACATGGACATTATTAATTCTAGGAACATTACTTTGTACACATCCAAGATTCGCGGAGGGCCATGTTCTACTGGTAAGTTTGAAATATATGGATTCCCCATGGAGGCCCCCCTGATGATCTCTGCACTCTTATAGATATATGGATTCCCCATGGAGGCCCCCCTGATGATCTCTGCAATCTTATCTAGATATATGGATTCCCCATGGAGGTCCCCCTGATGATCTCTGCAATCTGATAGATATATGGAGGCCCCATGGAGGCCCCCTGATGATCTCTGCAAACTTATAGATAATTGGGGAAGTTTGAGTTGTATGGTTTTCTCATCTTTTTGTTAAGACTTTGGAGCTAAGTTCTCATGCTGTTTCTATTTTCACAACAAACCTTTGTAACCCATTTACATATCTATAGTAAACAAAAAACAACTAAGTCATTTACATATCTATAGTAAACAAAAACAACTAATCCATTTATATATCTATAGTAAACAAAA